ATGTACATCGCGGTGAAATAAACTATGATCCATGTAACGCTAACTTTAACATATTAGTGTGTAAATTTATTTTATCTACGTAGCTAGCTAAACTCAGAAGCTAACTAAAGATTGACAGTAACATAAATCTTAGCTTGTAAAAATGTGCTCATCCATTGGATCAGCTGCTTAAACAGTTCACTAATGTTCACTGTTTATGTTCATGTTCTCCTCACAGGAGGTTCTGACCCAGATGTGAGGACAAAAGAAAAGCGAGGTGGGGGCCACAGGACAATCAGACTTTGTTGTTAAAAATTTGCTGCCTTTTTCTACAGTGGAGCTGCATGTTGGCGGTAAATTAAACTTTAAAGGATTTTGTTGACCAGTTAAACCTTTATCTCTCAGCCTAGATAATGTTTTTTGATCAATAATAACACAACCATGTTATTGTTGATGTTTTGTTCTTATGTCAATTAGGGAGATGATCAGAGTCCTAAACCCCAGAGAACCACAGAGAATATTCAGGCAGAGACACAGTGGTGCAGATGTCTGCATCATCCCTACCTCATTGAATCCAGTGACCTGCTGGTGGAATGTGAGGGACAATATGTCAAACTGACAACCAGGTATCTGTGTGTGCAACAATCGTCATCTACAGCCTCAGAGTGAACATTTTCCACTGCTGGAGACACCATAAGCCAGGAGCGGGCTTGTTTGTGTCCACAGAAAACAGATATGTTGATGTTTCTGAAGAAAAACTGTTCAGTGAAAAGATCCTCAGTGTGTAGCAATGAACATTAGACACTGATGTGTCACTGTTTTGTAACTGGTCTTTTGACCTGGAAATTATTTGTTTGTTTTTATGTAAGAAAATTGTTTGGAATAGAAAAATACCAAAGTTAAAAAATAAAACTCACAATTTGTACTGTAATGTGTAACGTAATTTTATTCTTGTTAGAATTCAATTCAATTCATTTCAAAAATACTTTATTAATCCCAGAGGGAAATTAAATGTTGTTGTAACTCATCATCCTGGTTCATTAAAGAGTTGTTATAGATGCTGATGGCTGTGGGCAAGAAGGATCTCTTGTAGCAGTCTGTCCTACAATGGATTTGAAGAAGCCTCTGACTGAAGACACTTTGTTGTATGACAGTCTGATGAAGAGGATGCTGAGGGTTGTCTATAATGTTCTTCATTTTATGAAGAATCCTTCTTTGAACAATCATCTCCAAAGGTTCTAGAGGAGTCCCCAGAACTGAGCCAGCCTTCTTTATGAGCTTGTTGATCTTTTTTAAGTCACTTGCTCTGGTGCTGCTACCCCTGCAGATGATGGCAGAAGAGATGGCACTCTCTACAACAGACTTATAGAAGATATGCAGCATCTTGCTGCAAACGTTGAAGGACTTCAGCTTCCTCAAGAAGTACAGTCTGCTCTGTCCCTTCTTGTAGACGGCTTCACTTTTGCATTTCCAGTCCAGTCTATTGTCCAGGTGAACTCCAAGGTATTTATACTTCTCCACCACCTCCACTTCTTCTCCCATGATGAAAGTAGGGTTGGATCTGTTCCTGATTCTCCTGAAATCTACAATCATCTCCTTTGTTTTGTTCACATTCAAGATGAGATGATTGTTTCCACACCATGCCACAAAGCGGTCTACCAGTTCCCTGTACTCAGCTTCTTGTCCATCTCTGATACACCTGACTACTGCAGAGTCATCAGAATATTTCTGCAGATGACAGGAGTCTGTTTTGTACTGGAAATCTGAGATGTACAGAGTGAAAAGGAATGGTGAGAGTACAGCCCCCTGTGGTGCTCCTGAGCTACTGACCACCTGGTTAGACACACAACCCTTCAGTCTCACAAACTGTGGTCTGCCCGTCGGGTAGTCTTTGATCCAGGCGATTGTTGAGGCCTCCACTTGAGTCTTCTGAAGTTTCTGACAAAGCAAATCAGGCTGGATTGTGTTAAATGCACTGGAGAAATCAAAGAACATGACTCACACCACTGTCTGCCTTTTCTAGATGACAGTGAGTTTGCTGAAGCAGGTGTATGATGGCATCTTCAACTCCAAGTCCACGCTGATAAGCAAACTGCAGTGGGTCCTGATATGTGCTTGTTTGTCTAGTCAGGTAGGTCAGCAGAAGTCTCTCTAGGACCTTCATGATCTGGGATGTCAGGGCAACAGGTCTATAGTCATTGAGGATTGATGGGTGCGTTTTCTTTGGCACTGGAACAAGACAGGATGTTTTCCACAACACTGGAACCTTTTCCTGGGTCAGGCTAAGGTTGAAGAGGTGCTGCAGAACCCCACAGAGCTGCTCTGCACAGACCTTCAGGACTCTGGGACTGACACCATCTGGACCTGCAGCCTTATTCTGGTTCAGTCTCTCCAGCTACTTCCTCACCTGACTTCTGGAGACGCAGAGGGGGGAGGCAAAGGAGGTATCAGCATCTTCTGATTTAGTTGAAGACCAATATGTAGAAGAAGGGTCCATGACTGAGGTGGTAGATACAATATTTGAGGTGTGACAGGACAGCCTTGGGTCAATGGAGGGTGGTATGTATGTTTGGCTGTGGGCAAGAGAGGAGGATGCTGAGCTTGTTCCTGAACTGAACCTATTGAAGAATGTGTTCAGTTCATTGGCTCTGTCCAGGCTTCCATCCTTCTGATCCTCCTTCTGCTTGAAGCCTTTGATCGGTTTCATCCCTGACCACACCTCTCTGATATTGTTCTGTTGGAGCTTGCTCTCCAGCTTCTTCTTGTACACCTCCTTGCTGTTTCTTATCTTGACTTTTAGTTGCTTCTGTGTGCTCTTCAATAATTCCCTGTCTCTCTCCCTGAAGGCTCTTTTTTTCTGGTTTAGCAGTTCCTTCAGGTCAGTGGTAATCCAGGATTTGTTAATGGGGAAGCATCTCACTGTTCTGGTGGGGATGGTGTTGTTTACACAGAAGTTTATATAGTCGGTCACACACTCAGTCATGGCATTGATGTCCTTTCCATGTGGCTGGCACAGTGCATCCCAGTCTGTAGCATCAAAACAACCCTGTAGGGCTTCTTCAGCTTCCATTAACCATTTTCTCACTGTTCTCTTTATTGCAGGTTGCCTCTGAACAAGGGGTTTATATTTTGAGCAGAGATACACAAGATTGTGATCTGATTTGTCAAGAGGGGGTCTTGCTTTAGCGATGTATGAATCCTTGACATTTGCATAAAACAAGTCCAGCGTTTTGTTTTCTCTGGTAGAGCAGCTGACAAACTGTTCGAATGTCGGAAGTGTAGCAGAGAGAGAGGCATGATTAAAATCCCCAGATATTGCAACAAACGCACTAGGGTGTTGTGTTTGTAGCTTAGCAACCTCGGAGCTGATGACATCACACGCAGTCTCAGCAACAGCATTGGGTTGAATGTAAACAGTTGCCAAAATAACACTGGTGAACTCTCTTGGCAAATAATATGGACGACAACTTAGGGCTAACAGTTCAATATCTGGACTGCAGAGATGACACTTCACAGTAACATGTCCAGGATTACAGGATCTGTTGTTCACAAGCACTGCCAACCCACCTCCTTTCCTTTTGCCACTCCTCTTTAAATCTCTATCTGCTCATATGGTCAGAATGTCTGGCAAGGAAATGCTGGAGTCGGGGATATGATCCTGCAACCATGTTTCAGTGAAACGCATAACACTGCATTCCCGATACTCTGGATGGGTCTTTGTTAGGGCTTGAAGTTCATCCAACTTGTTTCCCAGCGATCTCACATTGCCCATCATGATCGATGGAAGAGATGGTTTAAACTGCATTCTTCTCTCTTTCTCCCTCTTCTTTGCTCCTGCTCTGCATCCACTACGCCTCCTTTTCAACTCATTTGGGATTTGAGGCTGTAGTTGAGATATTATTTGAGATTTGGAGATGTTAATCAGCTGCTCCCGGTTGTAAAAAACCTTGTTGTTATGGTTACGCATCATAACAAATGTCCAAAAGCAAAGATATTTCTGTAAAAATCCTTCCAGCTGCACAGCATCTGACACCAGACGAAATAATCATCCAAAAAAAAAAAGCGATTTATATCCAGAAAAAAGAGGAATTAACGTTATCAAAAGTAATATCTCAGAATGAAAGTAACAGAGCTACTCCAACATGCAGCCACCTTGAGCGGCGCAATTCTAGAATAAATTAATAGTAATTACAAAATTGGTACCAAAAAAAGAACCGCCCAGGAACCGACACCGAAGTGAAGGTACCGACACCGGTACCGATACTGATTTTTTTAGAAAGATACCCAGCCCTAGGTTCACGTGTCTGTGTTGTGTGAACTACTGTTGTACTGCGCGAGTCGTGTGTCCGCTAAAAAAAATGCCTCTATGATCAAAAGTGTGGCTCCATTTTCAAAAGATTGATGGCAGTAGTGCGCGTTGCAATATTTGCAAAAAAGACATTGTTGCTAAGGCTGGCAACACAACTAATTTGATGAAGCATCTTATCGTTCATGGCATCAATTTACGAGCGGAAAGTTGCTCTGTTTTTGACTGTAAGAAGAGTGGACCGCAGCCATCCTCCTCAGGTCAGCCTGTGAGTGTTGGAGAGCCTGAACAGTTTGATTTAACATGCCCACCACGACTGGACTCCTCTTCCTCCGAGAACTCAGAGGACAGCTCTGTTTCTGGGATTTCAGCTGGTAATTTTATGTTTGTTAACGTTACTGCAGCTTTGTGACTGTTTAATACGTGCATCGCGCGGTGAATTAACTATCCATGTAACGCTAACTTTAAGATATTAGTGTGTAGCTGTATTTTATTTTATTACAGCTGTATTCACTTAATTTTATTAAAATACAGCTACACACTAATATGTTAAAGATATTAGTGTGTAGCTGTATTTTATTTTATTAAGTTGTATTTATAAGTTGTATAAATTTATAAGTTGTATTTTATTTTATTTTATTAACAGTTCACCTAATGTTGTTCACTGTTTGTTTTCATTAGACATACTGACTACTATATTGTTTTTGTCTTGCAGGAGGAGAGCATCAGGCAGTTCTTGGAGGAGGGCACAGCCTTAGACCCAAGATTCAAGACAAAAGTGGCCGATGAAGTGTGGACCAGACTAGAAGAGGAGCTGATTAGTAGGACGTCACAGCAGGTGTGTGTTTATTGTTATTGATAATATTTCATTCCTCTTCCATTGTAGATCGATTTATATGACTCCCATAATCTATTGAATATAGAATAAAGGTGTAATGATCCAGGCCCAGCAGATGGAGCAGGAGCTTGAAGGGACAGCTGGCGATCATGACTCATCTGATGAAGACTCTACAGCTGCAGCAGCAACACTGGTAAAATAAAAGTATACAAAGACACCTTGCTCTGAAACCTCCCTCACCCCCATTTCATTTTCAGAACAATATTACCTTGTTGGCATCTACTCTGATTGTCTTTATTTTTCCTCCTTCTTCTGTTTCCAGAAGAAGCCAAAGCGCTCTGGCATTGAAGAGCTATTTGCTGAAGAGGACATGGCAATTGAAACAAGAGAAGAAAACACTTTTAGCACCACAGAGAAGATTCAGGAGGAGATAAAGCAGTACAGAATCTGCCAACAACCCGAAGCTCTGTGAATCCAGTGACCTGGTGGTGGAATGTGAGGGACAAAATGCCATTGTTATCAGACTTGGCAACCAGGTATCTCTGTGCAAGCATCATCCACACCGTCAGAGTGAACATTTTCTACTGCTGGAGACACCATCAGCCAGGAGCGGGCCTGTTTGTGTCCAGAGAAAGCAGACATGCTGATTTTTCTGAAGAAAAACTCTTAAATGAAAAGGTCCTCAGTGTGTAGCAGTGAGCATTAGACACTGACATGTCTGGTTTGCAATTGTTCTTTGTCCTGGAAATTATTTGTTTATTTTTATGTAAGAAAACTACTTGAAATAGAAAAACACCAAAGTAAAAAAATAAAACTCAAGATTTGTACTGTAATGTGTAACATAATTTTATTCATGTTAGAATTGATGTTAATCATAAAATTGGTACCGAAAAAAGAACCGTTCAGGAACTGACACCGAAGTGAAGGTACTGACACTGAAGTGAAGGTGTAGTATGACAAATATATGAAATATATATGCATACAATTTCACGAGTTCCTCATCTTTCTGACTGTGTAAGTCGTGCATTGAATTTTAACAAAAATGTAACGAGAGACGTTATTATCTTTGACCCATCAAAATGAATGTGGTCATTTATTTTCAGAATCAAAGTTTAACATCAAACATTTACATTAATTTGGCAAAATATGAAAATAATAACAGACAAGTTTCACAGAAAATGAGCATCGATCACTCGGCGGTGAACGAGGACTTTGCTTCAGATATTTCTAAAATATCTGTACTGGTTTTGTGAGAGAGAGAAGAGTTTAAGATGAAATGGAGATTTTCTTACAGAGAACTATGTGAGGGAATTAATATCTGTTGACCAGAACGTGCACGCTTCATCAGATCTCAGCTCGCCTCCGGTACACTTTAGTCGAAGAAGAGACCGTTACCTGGTGATGATAGATCAGCTCGATAGAGAATCCTCCAGACCTTTCAGCGTCTCCGTTGAGAGCTGCTGAAATCCTTAGATAGTCGTGCGTGGGTTGTTCAAACAGAAGTTATAATTCCAAACGTCTCTGACTCTCCTGAATTCTCGAATTCTCTTCCATTCACTTCACCATTCTTCATGAATTCCCCATGAATTCTAACCAATTCTCCTCAGAACTCCTTGAGAACTAACTTGAACTGGGAAGTTGCCACATTTTAAATGGGTCGACTTCCGGTTCAATTTAGAGCTTTCTGATTCGTGGATGTACCAGAAAGAGGTGTGGTTTTTGATGTAAGGTATTATCAAAAGTCGAGGTCAGGGAATGAATTTGTTTTCAACATACAGAAAAGATTATTGCAGAATACCAGACTTTTTGGAGCCTCACTCTGTTGTATCTTTCCAAATAGTAAAACATGACATCCCTTTTTCAGTAAACATTTAGTTGACCGAAGCTTCAACTTTCACATACTTACGACTTGGCTCATTTCAGACAGAAAATCAAGAAATGCATATTAACCTGATTTCTTCTTTGAATGAGGAATAAAAATCATTACTTACTGTTTATGTAAAATAAAAATGAGTAGTTCTTTTCAACCTGTAAGCATTGAGTGAAACTAACACAATTTGATTATCAAACATTTGTAAGACAGTAATGATTATAAAGAATTGTCTTTTCTGCTTGATTAATTCAAGAAAGAAAGTCACCAGATGGCTCAGACTGTTTTCAGATCAATGAAAATAACAGTCTCTGTCCATCTGATAGATTTGAGGTCATCAGGGTCAGATCAGGCCAGATCAGGTTCACTACAAAGGTACAGACATCGGTACCGACAGATTTTTTTAGAAAGGTACCCAGCCCTATTCTAAGGTGAATTCTGTACAACTATGGTTGTAAGTATTCACTATGACTTAATTTTCAAGTATTATGCACAATCTGTGGTGGCCATATTGAATAATGATGTCAATATTGGAGAAAAACTACAAGTTTTAGGTTGTGCCAAACTATACTGTGTAAGGTATAGGTTCACATCAACAAGAAATTTTCTCTGCTCTTCACTCAAACTCAGTTCTTCGGCCAGCTCATCCTTAAGTTCACAACTTTCTACTGCTGTTTTCAATTTCTTCTCCACTGTGTTCCGATGTTTGGCTTCCTTCTTTTGCTTCTTCTTCTCTTGTCTGACCTGATATTCCTTTATACGTAGTCTTTCCCTTCTGATTCCCCTCACTTGCTTTGCTTGCTTGACAGCAAGCAGGATGAGGGGCCATAGAGAGAGAGAGTTGCAACACTCTTTGAACGAACCACTACGCAGTCACATGGTTCATGCAGCTCTCAATAAATAACAAGCTCCATTCAGTTCCAAACAGCTCATCACTGTCAATCAGTTTGAGCGGCTACTGGTGCGACATAACGCAAAAATCGTTGGTTACGTATTGTAACCCTAGATGCTATGAGTGTAAGCTACACCCTTTACAAGCTGTCACTATTGGGTTAAAGGGCGAAGCAGGATATGGTCCATGCCTCACGGGGTCTGTCTGAGAACCATAAAAAACACCCTGCCTAAAACCTCATTCTTTATTCAAGCGTAATTACGCACCATTGATCTATGTACCTGGTGTGTACTGGATTACAGGCGCGCAGCCTCTGTGCCTGATCTTAGCTGAAGGAATGTTTATTCATACCAGACAATAGAGGAATAAGAGAAGGAAAAAATTTCCAATGAGGAAGAAGGAATTTTCCTGTTTGAACGAGTAATTGTAGAAAACACCCACTAATAATGACAGAGCAAGGCTGTGTTGTTTTATTGTTTCTTGTTTTTATCTTATTTTATTTTTTGTTGTGTGATTGTGAAAAATCACTCTGACATAACTCTGAGAACTGAATGTGTCAGCGAAGAGCTGGAGACATCTCGTAAATAAAAACGGATGAAGGGGGTTTGTGATGACCATGAAGCCGCAGAGCAGATGTCCTGCACAGACATGTGCAGAGCTGTGGAGGTAGAAATCCCTCTGGTGGAATGAGCCCTGAGTCCTTCAGGCAGTTGAAGGCCAGAAGAACTATAGGCTTGTGATATAGTTTCACATAACCAATGTGACAAGACGCTGGGAAGATAAAGGCTGACCCTGTGATTGTTACCTGAAATGTACGAACAATTGATTGGATTTACGTATCGCGGCTGTGTGTGTGTCACATAACATCTGAGTGCGCGTACTGGACAGAGCAGGTCAAATTGTTCCTCCTCCGTAGTTTTATGGGGAGGGGGACAGAACCTGTCCAGCGTAATGACTCTGGACCTGAACGAACTTATGCTTTTGGGTATAGTAGCAGGATTTGGTCAGAGTTCTGCTGAGCTCCCGTCTCCTTGAATTCTGAGACGAGAAGGAGCGACGGACAGACCTGACAAGTTGCTCACTCTTTTAGCTGACGTCAGAGCTAATAACATGGCTGTTTTGAGCGACAGATACTTCAAAGGTAGGTCCAGGGGCTCAAACGGATTTTAGTGAGTAAACTGAGAGCGAAGACAAAATCCCACTGTGGTGTCAGGGCGCACGTCACTGGCCTGAGCCGGCGTGCACCTTTCAGAAAACATTTTGTTAAACGGTGATTGAAAACTGTTTTATTGTTGAAACCTTCATGACAGGAAGAGATAGTTGCAGCATAAGTTTTAGTTGTGCTGAAAGCTACATTTCTGTCCAACAGCAGCTGCAGGTCGGACAAAATGCAGCCCAGAGGACATGAAGTTGGGTCCACCTCCTTTTCTAGACACCATTGATGAAAAGCAACCCATTTAGAAGCGTAAACAGCTGTAGTGGATTTTGTGTGTGCCCCCTGGATGGTACATATTTGTACCATTAGTACGTCTTTGGTAAACCAAAATTTTTCTAAGCGTTCTCGTTTAGCGGCCAGACCCAAAGGGGCTGACCTATTATTGGGGGGCTCCTGATTGTTCCTCCCGCCTGCAGGAGTGCATCCTCTCTCCACGGCAACTTCCACGGTTCACCCGTCAGCTGTTGCAGAACCAGGAACCACGAGGCGTTCATGCATTGTGGGGTGATCACAATCATTTTCAGATTCTCCTCTCTCACCCTCTCCAACAATACTCATATCAGGGGAACTAGAAGGAAGGCATAAATCAGCGTCTTTGGCCACGGTTTGTGTGCAAATGTGTTCACCCCCCAGTGGCGGAGCATCCCGTGGATTTAGGGAGAAGAACAAGGCGCACTGAGAGTTCTCCTGGGTGGTCTTCAGGTCCACCTTCGCTCACCCGACCCTCCTCCAGATTTGCGAATTTAGATCTGGTTGAAGAGACCAATCCCTGTCCAGAGGGCCTCCTCTTGACATATCTGCTCCTCTGTTTAGAACGCCTGGGATGTAAACTGCTCTGATCGAACGTAAGTGTGTGTGCGCCCAGCAGAGCAGTTCCCGAGCTGCAATCAGTAGCTGAGCTGAACGCATGAACCCCTGGCGATTTATGTACACCGCAGCGGTTCTGTTGTCTGTCTGGATCATCACATAATGATCCTGAACCAGTGGAACAAAATGTCTGAGTACTTTTTTTTTACTGTGAGAAGTTCTAAAACATTTATGTGACAAGACGTGCCTGCTGGCCATGCACCTCCTATCATTTGTGACAGGCAGGTCCCTCCCCATCTAGGGCTGGGTACTTTTCTAAAAAATTCGGTATCGGTACCTGTGTCGGTACCTTCACTTCGGTGTCGGTTCCTGGACGATTCTTTTTTCTGTACCAATTTTGTAATTAATATCAATTCTAACAAGAAGAAAATTACATTACACATTACAGTACAAATTGTGAGTTTTATTTTTTAACTTTGGTATTTTTCCATTCCAAGCAGTTTTCTTACATAAAAATAAACAAATAATTTCAAGTCAAAAGAACAGTTGCAAACCAGTAACACGTCCGTGTCTAATGCTCACCGCTACACACTGAGCTACACACTGAGCTACACACTGAGCTACACACTGAGCTACACACTGAGCTACACACTAAGGACTTTTTTACTTAGCAGTTTTTCTTCAGAA